ATTGAAGAGCGAGGAAGAAATCGAGAGAACAAACCCTGGAAGGAGAGTGAGACGCGCGTAAATACGTTGGCGACGAGGGAAAGAAAAGCTCGAGGAGGAAAGGGGGAAAGTAAACGGAGGAAAAGGTGGTGGGGAGGAGGAGAGAAGGAGAGAAGAAGAGAGGGACAACCGGAGGCGGGCGAAGTGGAAAAGAGAAAGAGACGGCGAATGGTCGCGTGGCCGTGCGTGGCCCCAAATAGGGCATCAGGTGGTTGCACGACGCCCGNACGTGCATCGAGAGAGTAATCTCTCCCTCACCTGTTGCGCGCCTGTTTTCGACCCGCTTCCTTCGCTCCGCTCCAATTCCTATCGTTCAACAATCGTTGGAGAGATCTATCTCTAGCGAGATACGTGCTAGGTTTGACGTGTTATTATCGCGAATAACGATAGATAAGATGTTAAATTAAAAATAACCTCGCCTCGTTTCGTCGCATCGATACGTGAGACGATTACGCGACGTTGTAATTTATCTGCAATTAATGGTAACTTGTGGCACGAAATCTAACATACTTTAACGCATTTGAATAATTTATAATGCTGTCGCGGCGAAATAACTCGGCGGACTCGAGGATAGCAAGTTGCGATAGTAACTAATGGAAAGCTTCATCCCTAAGCGGACCCTCGATTCGATCGATAAACGACGTTCGGCGAGAAAGGGAGTACACCGGTAGTAGCCGCAAGCTCTCGAAACGACGATAAATCGACGTCTGTCACTGAGAGAGAGGCGTCGGTACGCCGGCGCCGTTCGCGTCAGCAACCACGAGCTTACGCAGGCAAGTAGAACGACGAGGGGTGGTGGACAGAGTCCCGCATTCGTTACATTACATTATACGCCGCGACGCATACTTGACGACAAAGAAACGACTCAAGAAACTCTTTCTCCCTTCCTCGACCGTAGAAGACGCAGTACAGCTCGTTTCTCCTTCGTAACGAACGTTTTCGAAAACGAAAAATATACGATACGAGTTGAAATTGAAAATGCGGATAAAAGACGAAGAAAAAGGAAGGAAATCACGACGAGCAACTTTAATTACGCGGTTTGAAAAAACGCGTGTTTACAAAACTCGCTCGGACATCCCCGTTCCCTTTCCCTCTTCCCCTTTTCCCAACGTGGATTCCTCCCCTTTAAATCCCTCGAACACACTTCGGAACGCGCTGTTCGTCGCGAAGGGAGATGAGCGCGCGCGCCTCGCTACGTCA